GTGCTTCTTTGTACCAGGAACGGCGCCAATGAGGAACGGCCAGCTGCGATAGCGTATTAGATAGTATCACAAGCAGAGAACGGTGTGTAAAGGGGTATATCAACGTACCTTATCCTTGACATGCCTGTCAAGTGCAGCCTGAGATGTTTGATAGTCAATGGTTCTGATAGGCACAGGACTAGAGTGCCTTTGAGATGAGCGCTGGCAGACTCTTCCTCATTGCCCCGAAATACGATATACGGCTCGTCCAGTCTGGGTGTTGATTAGCCGTTGCTCGGAGAGAAAGGAAGGTTAGATGTATACGGAATTTCACATACCTGATATCGAAGTATTTCGCATGGCTGGAACTACCTGGCCCGCTAAAGAAACTGGGGGCCATGATAGTCACTGTCGGATGGAAGACGGTGGAGAGCTCTACAGCGCAGCGAAGTATCGGGATAATGACAGACTCTGCGCCCGCCGGTTATTGAGTCGCATGTACCGCAGCAGTGAAGCGTTATACAACCTCTAGACCAAGATATAGAAATAGACGGCGGTGGGATGAAAGCGAGTTTAACAGCAAAAGAGGAGAAAAGCACATGACAGACAGGGGCAGCTCTGGATGTTTCTTGGAGAGGTTTATATACATATATGTATATGCCCGGAAGATATATATCTACAGGATGGAGTCCGCGGTGGTGAGCCAATAATATATGGAATCCTTGCCCAATAGCCACTTCATTATTCCAAAGGCTCGAAAGCGAGGGAGAAAGAAGAAAAACTTTCGCTGGATAATCATCCGACAAGAGTCCGCATTCATGGATCTCCCGCTGGCTTTCATCATCTCTCTTTTCGCAGGCCTGGCATGGGTTTAACTTACTGGGGGTCGCATCCACTTGGAAAATTTCTTGCCTGTGAAAAAAAGAAAAAAAGAAAAAGGAAAGAAAATAGCACTAAGTTTCTTTCTCGGCCTTTGAGCCTATGAAGTTGCTGGATTTCACATGGAGACGGTTGGCCTCGAGATCAGAAAAGTTGGGTCTGATATTCGTCATGCTTTATCAGGGCGTTAAGGACATTGGTATCTCGTCTATCTATCTGGCTGTGACAGGTCGTGCCTAGGCATGAGGCTATCAAAGACAACTTGCAGACTGATAGGCATTTTTCGTATCTGCGAAGAATAGTCAATAGACATCTCTACTCCGGCCAGAGGACGCGGTCCTTGCCGGCATTTGCTTGGCTATTCAGGCCAGAGATGACATGAGAGACGCCAGGGCTGATCTACTCCGTGGGGCGAGTCGCAGTTACGTAAATCCCAGGGCATGGATGAGAAAGGGGCTCTGACCTGCCCAGAGAAGCCAGTTGGGTAAGCTTATGATGTCCTGGAGCTCTAGGCACTCGGTGGCCGTTGATACTTCTCAAGGTAGTCGAGGACTGTGCCCACTGACTGCACGCTATCTTCGACCGTAGTCAGCTATGCAGAAGATATGACCGCTGAATCGTTATCACAATAATATCGCAGCGACTGCCAGAGAATATTTTTTTTTATCCCCTGCCGGATAGCCGTCACTAGCTCCACCCGTCCTGATGAATCTCCGGCGGCTGGCCAAAGGGAGAAGACAAGGCGAGACAAGACAAGACAAGCTCTTCAGGCCCCTTTTGACGTCTTATTATCCACATGAATACTCCGTGATAGACGCCTTTTCTTTCGTAGTCATCATGGTGCCATCCCGTTGTTTTATTAATTTAGTTAGTCAAAGTCAACAACCTCGGCTCAATTTTGCCTGCTTGCCTCGGACAGAAGCTGACAAAATAGTTAAAATTTTGGACTTGCTTCAACCTGCTCGACTGGTCAGAGAGGTTAATATGACAAGCGGATCTGCCTGCATGGTGTGGTGCCACAGGCTCGTTACTCGCAAGCGCGTGTCATGCATATTCGAATTACACCATTTAGCGCCTTGTCGATGTATACGATGCTAGGCTCTGCCGCTAATGTAAGCCTCTGAGTACCAAATAATAATATTTGTTTGAGCAATAGAACTAGATGCGCTCCTCTTTGAACACGAGTTACGGAGAGAAATGCGCCGCGGCGGAATGCCCGTATATTACCCGGCTCAACGTCTTAGCCATGCATATTCTGGCTTGGATGATGTGCGCTGGGCGACGGGGGTTGTATCTCCACTTAACCGGCCCTGGGAGTAAAAAAGGCAGTTAGCTGAAAACATTTTGATATAATGAAGAATTGAACGCTCAAGGGTATCTACATAGAACAACACAAGTATTTATCAGTGGGGGGATTGCAATCGGTGTTCACCGTCGTGACATATGGCCATCACCTCCCTACCAGCCTATATCTCTCCCTGGCCATTCCGCCCTCCGCTCCTTCAACACCGTAGCCCTCGCCAACTTCGCCAACAACTCTTGCAGGAGCTCCGCCAACGACAGACCAGCTGGGCACGACCATGCCTGCGGGGACAACCGCTCCGTCTAGCACAACGACATAGTCCTTCAGAATAGCCATTGATCCTACAACCACGTCTCGTCCAATGTGGACGTGATTTCCTACTGTGGCCGCCTCGACGATTGAGTTCTCCCCAACGAAGACGTGATCGCCCATCTTCAGCGGGTAGTATGAATGCACACCGCGGTGGAGTCGGGACGGAGGCCGCAGCAGGCATGACCGAGACAGATATGTATATCGACCGATCGTTACTGCGATCGAAGGCGTGTTGGCGGCAGATTTCGACCCGGCTGCTCCTGACGGTGCTGCTGCTGGTGTTGCTGGCTGCTGGCGGTAGAGGTCACCACGGATACAGACGTCCGCCTGGATGACTGTCTTGCCGCCTAGAATGATATGCTGTGTTCCGTGTACCTGGTTGCGACGAGACACCTTGTTCCCTGTATCCTGCAAACACTTCTTAACACTGCACTCGTCTTCACAAGCGGAGGTTTCCAGAACTCACTGTCTCGATATATTCGCCCTTGATGGCTTTGGGGGCCATGTTTGCTCTCTTGCCTTCCACGCGCTTCCTCTACAGCATTCCTTTCCAACACTCACTCACTCCCTCGACGTAAACAGATGCCTGCCAGTTCCCGCTTTCAGCTCCGTATCCGTATCATCGACATCCGCCTTTCCTGTCGCTGTTTATTCGTGTTTTGCTGTTTTGTTTCTTCCTCGACGTGCAGAAAGGCATCAAAAGCCGATGCTGACTAAGATGATCACGTGAATATACCTAACTAACGCTCCTGGAAGAAGTAAAAAAAAAGAGACGCAGCAAGACGAACGAACGAACGAACGAGAACGACGGAGCAACGGCAAGGGGTGAATACACCTAGTAAGGAGGATAGCAAGGAGGATGGAAAACGGGATGATGTGTGAGTAACTACATGGCGAGAGGCGAGCGAGCTCAGGCCGCTGCGGTGTTTGTCTCTCGCCCGTGAAAGCTGCAGAGTCAGCTCTCGCCCCGGGGTCCCCCTTGGCGGATACCTCAGCAGCCCGCCCCCGGAACTGGCTGGAATGGGATATCCTGGACACTGCATCTCGCGTGCAGCTAGCGAGCAACTCGTCACTTTTCGACGCAGCGGGTTGGCCAGTGACATCCCTGGTGCAGCCGGCTTTTGATGGCCAAGTGTTGCTGAACATACGCATTGCTTGCTGCCACTGCGGCTGATCTTGACTGGTGTTCCTGAAGCATGAGTAGTGGTATGTACGGAGTAAATCAGGGTGCCACTAAATGTTCTGATATAGGCGGTGGCCTTTGGACGCAATAAGTATATATTGCCCTCTTAGTAAAGATTTGGGTAAGTGGTTAGCTATTCTATTCCCGCTCAAGAATTATAATAGTAGTAATCTACAAGTTAATATGGAGTCCACACGCAAGAAGGGAGCCATCCCTGTATTAGGCATACTATCTGCCCAAAATTAATCAGCTTTTTGGGGACATTGATGTCTTTTATCTCTCTTGGATATTGCCTCAATCTAGGTGTGGGCTAGGGGTTTGCCATAGACCTTTTGTGTTGATGCTTTCACCTCCTTTGCCTTGACTATATTGTTTTTGGCTAACTAGTTATTACAATCTGGGAGCGGATTGAAAGCATTTATATAACTACGGGATTGCACATGGAAAGGTCAAGCAGCAGATAGAACTGAATGGCGGGAGAGAGACACTCCGGGATAACTGGTTAGTTAGTTAAACTACTGGACCAAGTTGAATGGTTGATCTGTGACAACAGAAACTAACTAATCCAGTGGCTGGAGTCCAGGATTTGAGTAGCTATGGAGTACATCAGCGTGCAATTCCTTTGTAGTCAGGAAATCTCAAAGACCAAGATAGGTAAAATATCAATTTCCGCAGCCAATATCTTATGTATAGTTACATACGATTTGGCGAAACCATGATGTCGCTTGTGATCGTCCCATGCGAGGGCCCCCTGGACGAGTTACCTGACTATTGACAAACCTATACTCTTGGCCACTATGTGCATCGCCTACCCTGGTGGACGCGGGGGTGGTCAGGCCATTTATTGACAGATCAGGCCGTACGAAAATATCGCAATTTGCTCATGCGCTGCTCACGCCTGGCCGGTTCTAGATTGGAGGTCCGGAGCTCCGGCTTCGATGTCTTGACAAATCTCGAGACTGGCAGTGCAGCGTGCTTTAGTCATGGAACAGCAGCCAGACTCGGGGTACGGGGGTGATCATGGTAACCCGTTGGGCTTCGTCCCCGCCGAGAGCGTCTGCTCTGTGGCAAACAACAAGGGAAATCCACGATCAAGTGATGAGGAGGAAGGCGAGTATGGGTAAAATGCGTACAGGACGATGAATTAATTAACTAATTAGGACTAACTACAAGACCATATGGAAACGATACATCGGGTATCAAATACAGGGGAGACAAAAGAAACTGTCGTCGGCGTCCAAACACGCGTGTGGATATACAGAGATATACAAACGGACAAGCCAATATATCTCAGTTGCCGAACTTATTATCAGTCTATTTGCAACTGACGGTCATAGATCATATCTAGTGGGCGTTTTGAGCTGGCAATTCTCCATCATAGTGGACTTTGAAGGCTGTAGATGGCAAAGGTGTCAGTAAGCTGTGCGAGACAATCATAGAACCTGGACAGTTTGGTAACTTACTCATTGGGAAGACAAAATAGCCGCTCTGGTCCTCGCGCATGTAGATATAGAAGCCACCTGGGCGCGGGATCTTCTTCAGCTCGCCCTGGGGCCCTGGAGCTCGGCGGAGGTTGTCTAGACCACCAACGACACGCAGCATAGACGTAAGTGCGATCATGTTTGCATCCTTGCCTAGACAGGCGTGCGGGCCCTCACCGTAGTGGATGTATGAATCCAAGGGACGGTCAAGGCGGACTTCATGTGGCGAGGGGAAGATGTTGGGATCACGGGCAGCACCGACCTTCGTATGTGATGGTTAGTTCCATTGAAATGTAGTTAGTTTATAGGTATTTACGAGAAAACTTACAAAGCTGACGAAGACCTTGTCACCAGGCTTGACGGACACATTGCGGCCATCGTCATCGATGTCGAGAGCTGCAGTAGATTCGCGGTAGGATCCGAAGGTACCGTTCAAGCGGATACCTTCCATGCAGTAGTGGAGAAGTTTCTCATCGGCCTCGTCGGTCCTCTCCTTGGCCCAGCGTTTGATATCTGGCAGGTGGACCTTGCCCTCCTCGGAGAGATAGTAGTCAATGATTTGAGTGAACTGGGTTCATGTCAGCGGGTGTATACTGTAGGGCAGCCAAAAATTAATCAGATGGGTTTGTACTTACCACTTGAGCCTGGTTTGGAATCATAGCTCCTGCAGTTGGCATAACCTGAGACCAGGTAACTTGCTCAACACTGAGCCCTGAATCGAGGAGGCGGCGGATCATATGGACACCATACTGTGCCAGGGCATTCTTGTTCTCCCCCATGCGGCTGAACAGGGAGAGAATGCCACCCTTGACGGCCTTGACACGGGCCTCCATAATCTGGCCAAGTTGCTGAGCAACAGTTCTGGCGGCCTGTCTGAGCGGGAAGGATTTGGCAGGGTCCAGATCGAAGAAAATAGTGGTAAAGATCAAACACATGATCATGAACATTTCATGTTCGGTGTAGATACCCTTGGGGTTTTCTGCAGTCTTCAATGGCAGGCCGAAAATGCTAGAAGCGAAGTGTACGTGTGCAAGATTTCCAACGCTGTTCCACAATGTTAGATTTGGGTCAGATTTGACAAGTGGGAGGATCAAAGATATATGGCTAATCTTACTCTCTGGTGATATCAACCTGATTGATGCCCGCGATCTTGCAAGTCTTCTCCCTGAGAAGCCTGATGGTGATATCCTCGTAAAACTCCTTGATATCCTTCTTCCATTCGCTATGGTACAACGCCTTGCCCATGGTCTTGCGCTGCTGACCATGGAACGTACTGTCTCCAGAAAGCATGAAGTCCAGTCCTCCCTTGCCGAAGAGGAAACCAGTAGCCTCTCCCCAGGTGACACGGAAGTCCTTGGAGTTTTCCAAGATAGTCTTTGCTCCCATGTAAGAGGTGATGTTTACACGAGGAGGAATAAAGGCTGGCCGGTCCCAGGAGAAGTTGTCGTGTCGACCAAGATCAGTCATGACCTTCTACATCTCGCTTGGGATAGTCATTGGGAAATGAGCGTAGATTGAATCGCTCTTGACATGGTTAGGGAATGCCCTGAGCATAAGCTTGTAGAACATGCAGCCCTGGTTGACGCTGAGGTCATAGTGAGTCTCAGCGTAACCCCAGTTGGTCAAGTTCTTCGCATGGTAATCGACCTGTTGCATAGAATTTAGCAAATCGGTGCCAATATATATAGGGAAATCAAGGTGCCAAAAGTCTTACAGTGTAGAAACGATCTCCACGGACCAACGCCACAGCATCAGACAAAATGGCGCGAGAAATAGTGTATGTTGGACAGATACCAGCTCCAGGAACCATTGGAATCTTTGGCTCCTCGGCAACAATACCGGGGTACAATTCAACGTGGTCCGGATGCTCGTAGAGATTGCGAAGAGCTCCAGAGATCTCTGGGTCGGAGTTGATCTCCTCGAAAGTCTGGTACTCCTTTAATCCGAAGAATTTGCGGAACTCATTGAGAGAGGCGCAACCCCATTTACGGGCCATTTGCATGCCGAGGATCTCAACGCCACGGAGTGCCTTTGGAACATTTTTAGGACCGAAGGATCCTATAGGTGAGACTCACGTTAGTAAAATCACCAATGGTATTGGTATGACAAGAGTATAACTTACCAGCGACCTCTTCGATGGCTTCAGTCATTATGTTCATGAGTTCACCATCGTCAAAGGTGCCATCAGTCTTTCGTTTGAGCCCAGCAAAGGTTCTCTCAGCTGGGTCATCAGGAATGCTAGCCTGCCATTTACCCAGTCCTCCAACAAGCTCTGGAATAGAGAGGTCTTCACCACTCTTTCCGAACATCTGCTGATAAGTATTGTTGGTGAAGTCCTCATCAGCAGCACCAATGCAGGAATGCCAGCGGTAAGCCAGGTTGAATTCCATGGAGACCTGGTTACCAATTCCGCTAGCAGCAGCCTCAGGAACTGCACCCTCACGCATGCCAACTCGTGGGTCCTATCAATAGTATAAGTCCATCCGTCTGATAGTGCGTAGGATTTTTAAGGAAAGATACTAACCAAACTCCAAGTAGTGTTGCTGCGGGTCAAGTTGATAATGGTACGGACGTAGTCGTAAAGCGTGATGTTAATATATAGTCCACAAGTAATCCTAAACTCACTATTAGCTGGATCTGGAGCAACGACATGGTTGAAAAGAACTTACAATCGTCCAGTCTGAAAAAGGTCATTGTCATATTTAGCCCAGGCCTTCTCAGTGGCTTCAGGGCTCATTCCACTTCTTGGTTTGGCAAACCGGCCACCTTCATTAATAGCGGCGAGCTGCTCTACAGCATAGTTGTGGAATCTAAGCGTTCGGTGTCAGAAATATTGCTCTATTATGGTGCGGGGGGTAGACAGAAATTTTTACCTGTTCAACATGATGAGGATAACGCTGCAAGCCGGAGGGAAGGCAAGAAGACGTGCTTCAGAATAGCAATCGGGCTTTAGTTTACCATCCTTGAAGGTTCGCACCTTGTTCTGGTCATCTTGGTTGTCTCCGTATAAGATGGAGAGATCGAGGTACGAAGAAGTTTCCGAAATGTGAGGGTTTCGATAGTCAGTTTGGAATAAATCATGGATGATCAGAGATGCCCAGTTGAAGAAGACGCTAGAAACTCCGTTCGGGTGAGGCTTGAATTTCTCACGCGCAAAGATGCTATCGAAGATGAGCCCTGGGTCGGGAAGGGATCCTAGTTGGATTGACTCTGGAATTATGGAACGAGCATAAGGAGTGTTTGCTGCTCCCAGCATTGGAAGCATTGGGTTGTTGTAAGATCCATCTGCGCTCCTGTACTTGTAATCATCGCCCAACATGCTATATATTAGGGTTAGTTATAGCCCATGCACCGTGTAACTTCAGTTTCTCTTAGGGGTAGGTGGCATACGTTGGTGGAGGGTGGAGGAGAGAGTCCCAAAGCTGCTTCACAAAGGTATTCATCAAGTCCTTGCGCATCTTCGATTGTGGTGGGAGGCCTGCAACGAGCTATTAAAAATGGAGCATAAGTATCTTTTCTTGGTCTGTTGGTAATTGATATCTCAGCTGTACATACGTTGATAACACGCTCCATAATGTACTCTCGATCGTTGTCGAGCTTTCCACTCTTCTTGTGTTTCCTGACTGCCAGCAAAGTGGAAATGCCCTTCCATCCCATAGTCCGCAGATCGGAAAGAGTGCTGGTATATTTGGTCTCTTCTCTGAGGTACGAGCCATCTCCTGACTGGTTAGGCAAAGGGCGTCTAGAGGCATGAATCAGTTGGGCGTATTTTGCGAAAGTGCCCTCAACATCTCCTCTCTTAGCTCGAGGAGCTGTGCTCTGGCTTGGGGGTGAGCTGGTGCTCGCCTTCGTCCCATTTGTTCCATTTGTAGTTGTATGGGTGCCATTTGTCACTCCATTGACACCGTTAGTAGCACCCCCGGCCATGATTGCCGTTCACACAGTGGTCTTCCTCGGCTGTAGACTATTCAAGAGTAGAAACAGAGTATGGCTTAAAGTATGACCACAACCCCAGGAGCAAGAAGACAGTCTCCTTCAGGCGTAGAGGATGGCCAGCAAAGAAAACTATCAAAATAAAAAGAGTAGAAAAGGGACCAAGGGATTAATTGTGGGTGACGCTCGTTTTATTTGCTGTCACGGACTTTCGCCGCGAAGGATGATCGGGTATTTGGTAGGTCAGCTAGGAGAAGTAGATTCAAGGCTGGGGAGCTGACATGCTCTTGATGAATGGCCACGGACGAGGATATGTTCCTCCCTCCTAATAATGCTCAAGAATGGGACGGACCCACAACGGCTGCATGCTTGGGGGGGGGAGCTCTGAAGATGCATCGTATTCATCCAGACTGTTTTCTCAGTAATCCTTGAGACCTGACTGGATAACTCAGAGAAAGCCAGCTCAGAGTCTTGCACAACACAGCTCAGAAGCCTCCCCGCCCCCTGCTGGCTCATCGAATTGGATTTCAGCCCCGAACCAGCAAGCCAATGACGGCTGAGTGGAGTGGAAGCTTCATTGAGTTTTCGTTTATGCAGGATCCATGGATGCCTCCAGCCGCTCATTTGTTGTTATGTATCTTGCCCAGACACCTCAAAAATTGGGCGGGCACGGGTGCTACACAGATCAGACACACAGGTATCCATATATATTACCTGATCGTGAGCCATGTTCCGATAGTGTCTACCGCCGTTTGAAGTGGCAGAAACCGGGTGCAGGTGTGCAGTTACTGTACTTCCGCAGACAGACACCCCTGAGACAAAGACGAGCGAGCAGAACGCTGAGAGTAGTTAAGTTGGCCCCGTGAGGAGCTTGCTTGATCCTCACTGACGCCAGGGCAGCCTGAGCCGACCCCCCAAATCACGGCGTTTCCCTTGGTCCATGACATCGGTTAAGGCTGAATTGTCAGCTCAAGCAAGGTCTGTTCTCTGGGACGGCTTCGGTTCGCAGTGGAGACCATTTGTTATCGAGAGCCTGGCGAATAGGAACACCACATCCGGGATGCGAACCTTGTTCATCGAACGCACATCTCGAATCAAGTCGTCACTTTGCTGTGGAACTCTTCCCCCGATTCAGTTTGCAGTCTGTGTATGGATCTGTCGACTCGGTATTCTCAGTGGTGGAGGGTTGGTCAGTGTTGCTTTGGTGCTTCTTAACTATTTGCTCTGGCCGCAGCTGGTTGAAGCTGGGCTGTTCGCTTCAACATGCCAAAAGCCGCGATTTTAAAACAGACCGGATTTCCGATCAGCTAGCGAATTGCTGTTTTCCAGTCCCTCAGAGTTTCCCATATCACTAACCATTAGTTAGTTATCCGGGGCCTCCATCGTGAGGCTGGCTGGGGTTCCACCGACTAGTTTATGCATCCAAGGGGGGTGTTTTCCTTCTCCGTCTTGATGTTGATCATGCAAGATTTTAACATAACGAGAGGGCCGTGGGCTGCGCAGATTGAACTGATCTACCCCCCCCTGTTGACATACTATACGGGGCAATTGGCATGCGACTGAGAGAGTCAACCTGAGGCACCCAGCTCTCCACCCTCCATTCTTCCATGTGACTGTCTGCAGGGTCAAAGATTGACCGAGATCTCCCCTCCATACGGGAACATGTTCACAATTTCCTCGTGAAACGAGAGCTTCTTTGCGAGCTAATAATAATAAGTCATAATTCGGCAGGTGTGAGAGGGTGGTTGCTTTCTTTTTCCCCTGCTTAAAAGACATGAATATCTGACCAAGTTCTCCGTAGATAATAATTTTTATATGGTTTGCGCCATCCGCTGCCATGCCTGTTCAGTCTCTGAGGGAGTAAGTGAGTGGTTGGATTCTGTCGTCAGTGTTCAGATAACATATAATTCTCTGTCATTGCTCCGTGGTTGACGGGCGTCGACGGACAGACTCTGGATGCCTACTGAATAGTTGATTTTTTGGTTGCGGCTTTCTTTTGTCTTCATTCCCAATGGCGACTGCCAACCCCCCTTCACGGCCAAAGACCTTGGTCCTCTGTTTCGATGGCACTGGGAACAAGTTTTCAGGAACAGAGGCAGATTCCAACGTGCTCAAAATATTCCGAGTCAGTGAGATGCCCCAATCCATGGGATGCACCAACAAACACCATGTTAGACGAGCAAATTGACTAACAGCTGGCACCCCAGATGCTGGATAGTAGCCAAGGGGACCAGTTTCACTATTATCAGCCGGGTATAGGCACCTATGTCTCTTCTGCAACCTTCTCGGACACCGGATTTTACTCCAGAGTGAAGTCTGCCATACTCAAGGCTAAGTATTCCGCCGTTGGCAGCTCGTTTGCCGACCATGTAATGGCTGGCTACCGGTTCCTTATGCGGTACTATGCGCCAGGAGATAACATGTATTTCTTTGGATTTAGTAGAGGCGCGTACATTGCCCGGTTCCTTGCAGAGATGATTGACTATGTCGGCCTTCTAACCGCCGGGAACGAGGAGCTGGTGCGCTTTGCCTGGAAAAATTATGCCAAATGGCAGCAAAGAGATGGAAAGGGAGATGAATACCATGACCAGAAGCTGAAAATGTATAACTATATGAAAGCGTTTCGCGAAACGTTCAGTCGACCGGTAAACCCCGTACGATTCATTGGTATCTTCGATACTGTCAACAGCGTCCCCAGGTTTGAATCAGCTTGGATGCAGAGAAGCAAGTTCCCATACACTGCGAAGACATCTGCGAGAGTCATCCGGCATGCTGTTGGTATCGACGAGAGACGGGCAAAATTCCGACAAGATCTGATTTCTCAAATGAGGGATATACATTCGAAACATGGCCATCACCATATCCCTCATATCCCTCATCATGGTCGCAAGTCTGTCTTCGGGAAGTGGGATCTTCGCAAGTTGATTAGGGGAAAACGCAAGAATAATATCCCAAATGTTGTTATCAACAGTCCTGAGGCAAACGAGAAGAGTACCAACGGCACTGGAGATAACGGAGTCACGAATGGGAAGCCTAATACCTTGAGCGCCGAAAAAGCCCGCAAAGTACCAAGCGGTGCCAGATTCAGGCCACCATCCCCAGCTCCTGAGTCTTGCCTCACAGTACCTAACCTCTCTGTGCCAGGGGCTCAGCAGGGGGACGACGCTATCTCAATAGTAGAGAGCTGCCATTCAAAGATATCGATGCCAGTTCCAGGTCTAGAGAACGGGAATGAGGAGCAGGATATCCAAGAGGTTTGGTTCCCTGGCGGCCATGCAGATATCGGCGGAGGATGGGAGCTTGCTAAAGGCGAGCTCTGGCAGCTCAGCCATGCTCCTTTAGTTTGGATGGTCCATGAAGCACAGGCAGCAGGGCTGCGATTCAGCCCTCGCGCGCTGAAGCAGTTTGAATGTGATGAATCATACTCGGGTGAAGTCACGCCCGTGGAACGCTCATCTTTCCAGTTCGATGACTATGAAGAGCTGCAAAAGAAATGTGTTCTCGAAGCAGGATTGCTTGAGGAGGCGTCGGATGCTGAGGCGGTCAGAAATTCATCTCGAAAAGTAACCGCATCTGAATCCTTCCGGGCTGCTCTGCATCTCTCCAGCACTCAGGGCCAAATCCATGACTGCTTGTCATACAACATGGGAGTCCCCAAGCTTTCAGTAACCCTTTGGTCAATGATGGAATACCTCCCATTCAGGCGAATGGATCTTCAAGTCGATGGATCGTGGAAACCTATCCGTTGGCCATTACCTCGGGGTGAAGTCCGTGATATTCCCGACGACGCCCAGATCCATGTGAGTGCCATACGCAGGCTGCAAGCTCGAGACGACTACAGGCCTGGAAATCTCATCTTGGGTGGAGGCGGCCGCGGGGTTAAGAGGTTACCCAAGGACCATCACATTGGCGATTGGGACGTCCATAGCAACGAAGGATGCCCCATTAGGGAGACCTATGTTCGCCGGAAGGCTCCTAAGGATGGATCAGAACGGAATGGAAATAAGTGTAACGGAAACAAAGGGCACAAACATTAACAAATGATGATGCCAGAGGAAAGGATCTGTATACCATTCTTTTATTTATTTTCATACCTTATTGATGCTGTATATAATGAAGCATTCAGCTATTAGTTATCAGTTTTAATTAGTTGGTTTTTGCAAGGGTTGGAGGAACTTAGAATAAGGGTAAATTGATACACTATGTGAATTGTATCTGCCACTCGTCTATATTCTAATGCCAAAGGCTCCGGCTTCCCTCATACCCCTCTACCTAATCATAGGCCGACGTTGTAGTAGAGTTGTTGGCTGTTGACTCCGTGACCTGGATTGAGTTGTTGAAACATCGGAACTTGCCTTGCATTGGCCCTATTTTAATGTACCCCAGAATCGGGCCAGAGCATAGGAAAAAGGAATTATCGGAGTCGCACTTGATATCCCCGGGAGTACATGACGTACTATTACCAGAGCCTGCCGGAAATGGTAGCATGGTTGGGAATAGGGACGGGGGACTGGACTTCGACGTGGTGCGACGACGGCAAACTCTTGTACCACTTCTCGCAGTGGTTTGTGGCGAAGAAAGGGTCGTTGGTGCAGTTGATGGGCTGCTGGCCGTAATGGGAGGGCATACACAAGTTGCTGTAGGTGCTGCTGGTGTTTTTGACGCTGCTTTGGAGCACGACGGAGATGGTGGCTGCGATGGTAATAATGAAGGTGGTGCTGGCTCTGGTGCCTCAAACTTGCTTGCGCATGCATAGCCTTTATCGGCAGCGCCTTTTGCCCCTGAACCGTATTCAACAAATTCCCCAGGAAAGGGGAAGATGACTTCTTTGCTGTGATCGGTCTTGCACTGTGGTGCTTGGTTGATGTTTGCCAGGAATATGTTGGGGAGCCCATGAAGGGCTGCTTGTCCCGAAAGAGCCACCTTGCTGTTGCCAGCAGGATTGTCATTCGATCCTGATATTGTGACATGTGCGCAGTTCATGTACATCTCTCTGTTTCCCAGACGGTTGAACCAGGTCCAGGCGAGGAGAGCGTTCCCACTCGGTGCGTTGCTTGGGATAGTAAACTTGTATTGCTTCGACAAGGGACATCCCCCTATAAACGACTTGATAGCTTTGAAGGTCTTTCCAGAGTCGTATGAGAGTGAGATCTGGCACGATCCACCACCGTGGGTTGCGCCTCCGGCTATCTCGATTGAGTATTCCTGTCCTGCCTTGTATTGCGCTGTTGGTTTGAAGGGGTCATTATGGTAGCCCTTGCAAGGGTAATCCGAGCCATCTGAGCGCAGGGGAGACGTGTACGAATAGTCTTTATTCGTATTTTCCTTGTTTAGGGGGCTTCTGACTGGAAATGGGTTTGCCAGCTGCATATGGCCATAGGCGATATGGCAGGTGTTGAAAAGGAGAAGCTGTATAGCAACGAAAAGCTTCATGGTTATCCTTGTTAGTTATCACTTCGAGCTTGGGATATCAAATCGTACTCAGTGTATAACCAGCGGGAAAGAAAAGTATGTGATTAAGTTGGCTGTTGAGAAAGACAGCCTGGTTCTGATGCACTTATATATCTAGAGACAGCCGCAGGACTGGTGGAATAGAATCTTCCAAGTTAATACAGCCACGCTAGGAATAGAGGTATAGTGGAAATTACCAGGCAAGCTAGGTATATCCCAGAATTTCCTTCACAAAGATTTGAGGAGTGCAAGGACAGTGAAGACACAGATGGAGAATCCTTCACAGTAACCATTTGGCCATTGTGGTAAAAGAAGCTTTATTTTGACTGTTTTAGTCTGCCTGTCTCAAGAGAGATGGGAAACAATTTATGTAATTGAACAATATCAATAACCCGTGGATAGTAGATAGCTGTAGCCTCACGCCCAACTGAGGAACATGGACGTTAGAGCTACCGAGTCGGCCAGGCATTCTAACCTGGGCAACAATGGAACGTAAAGTATAAAAATGAAATAAGAGGGAAAAATTCCGTTACGAATCACTATCTATGGGAGTTGTACCCATAACCATGGGAATATTCACCCGCATCAATACCGCTTTCGCCATAGGTATAACCCGCATTTTCGGATCTCGCCCACGGGTTGGGTGGCTCCTGAGAAGTAGGCGATATGGGACCGTCCGGGCATGTAACAGGGTATGTATTTCTCCCATATCCATAGCTAAGGTTAGACTCGGATTGAAGATTGCCGCTTTGAATACCCTGCCGCAACTGAATGTTTTCTGGATCAGTATTTCTGTTTCTATCATTCCCGAAGCGCTGGAGAAAATTTGTGAAGCGAGGTTTTTCCACTTTCGGCTTGTCCTCCAGCGAGTTGGCACCAGGGGTCAAAGAGGACTGGCTGTATTCAACGGTATGATCAGTAGAAGACTCCTGAGTTTGCCGTCTTGGCCAGAAGCGTTGACGAATCCTGGTTGAAGTATGGGAAAGGGGCGCTGGCGAAGTTTTAGAAGTCCGTTGGCGATTTTCGAAGGCCTTCTGTATGAGAATCGAGAGTAGAAAGAGAGCACTGGGAGGAAATATAATTAGCGAATGGGTTTGGCGCACATGTTATATAAGGGAATACCAACATTCCAATGATAGAGACGGCAAAGGCCCCCTTTTCTAGTTTGCACGCGGTAGCTAGGTATCGCATGGAAGTGAGATTATCCCCCCTGCCAGTTCCCATATCCTCGCCACCAAATGCTGCACCTGGGTCTTCCGCTTCACCACTTCCAACGGGCGTCGTTACGCGTCCTGTGCAAGGGAGGGCGCCGTGGCGAGTCATAAGACAGATAGCTAGAAATGCGACGGCGAAACTTCCGTCGAACATCATGGATATACGGGAGAAGACTAACAGTCCTCCATACGCAAGAATGAAAAACGACGTGAGGATGGCGTAGATCGCAGCCACTCCGGCTATCCCAGCAACAGCCTTCAGCCACTCTGGGGCATGCTCGTTGTGATCAGCAAGAACTGCAAGGAAATAACTAAAAACCCCGACGATGATCAGTGACGATAAGAGCTGAAGCATCCTTAGCCCGAAGCCTGCCAGGCGGATAGCATTGGCAGATGCCATGGCTTCTGGCTACAACCAAGTAGCTGTCTATGCTGTGTAGCAATGCGGGTTTTATAGATCAGAAATAGCCCATGAGCTTGTCAGTTTCAAGCTCAAGACCAGATAAGAGTAGGGGGAAAGTGAGAATAATGTACGGCAATTGAGGTCAATTTGGCTTCCATTCTCTATTTTGTGTGTCTGTCTGCCTGTCTGTTTTTCTGTGATGAATTCGCCTCCCAGCGAAGCTCCCCAAAAGTAGCGAAGAAAGCGCAATCTGCGGCCGAAAAATAATAGGGTGATGTCATATCACGTGCTTGGGATTCGGCCGGGTTGATATCAGAATGCAAGAGGCGGGCGGATGCTGGTCAACGGTTGATGGCATCCATTTAGCGAGTGGAAGATCCTGGGGATAAAAGGCTGAGCAGTTGGAAGGGCATTGTATCTCTGGAATATATGGCAGGCTGTTCGTTGGTAGATGGACCGGGGGGCGGGGCGGATTTGGTGGGTATAGAGGAGCTTGAAGGTGCAGGTTTCGACTCAGAGAGAGGGAGAGAAATGTCCCCTTACCCAGGGAAGGGGAACGAGAGCTGATCGATAAGGTGTATGTAACTGCGTGGCAGGCAGCCCAGTGCTGGTTTAATCCTCAAGCAGATCCGCGATATCCTTGTCGTCATCTTCCGCCCGCTTCCTTTCAGCTTCCTGCTCTAGGTATTTCATGAAATTTCGCTGCTTTCGTCTCGCACTTCTGCCCCAGTTAGACACCCCAGTAGATTCTCCTTCATCTTCACCTTCCTCGTCACTCTCTGCGACGTCGCCTTGCCTCAAGGTATTGGCCGACAGCTTCGTTTTGCCCGCGGTTTCGGCAGCAGCGGCTTCTTCGGCTTCTCTCTTTGCGTTGCCTGAGTCGAAGAGCTTTCTGAAGCCCTTGTCGAGGTATGGCCGGAGAAAATAATAGCCACCTATGATCCAGACAAGCCGGATGTAGTCTTGAATGGTGAGGTTGGAGACAGATGTGGATATGTTGTTGGTGAAGTTGGAATACAAGGTATACAGCGTATCTGTCACGCTCGTAAATTGGAAGTCTGCCATGGTAAGCGGCTGCTGTATATGAGGGAGTTCCACCTAGGGATGGGCGGGCTACGTAGGTGTTGTGGTAGCTAGGGCGTAGGCGCTCGCTATTGCTGTTCGTTCTCTGGTTTTCAGGTCAGACAAATACGCCAAACGGGACGGTCCTCCTCTCTAAGGGAAAAGAAATCTCTCAACTGAAGCGGCGGGGAAAGCACTTTAAATAAATATTCCCCCAACAGGCTGTTGTTTCTTTTTTATCGAGGGCTTTCTTCTTTTCTTCTTCAAGGCAGAAGCTCGCATAAATTAACTTGAGGGCCCATCTAAGAGAAAAAAAGAAGCTCCGATCCCGTGACATCGCGTTTTAAAGTATTAAGGTTCCAACCAATCATTGGGCCAGGGACACTTCCGAGAATATTTACCATGGATAGACACGAAGGCAAGCCAGAGACTGAGACCACGCAGGCAGCGAGATGAAGTGGTGGATAGAAAACGATGGCTCCTACTAACGATGATGGACAGGAGACGAAAAAGGTAAGCTATTCACTCCCGTGTTCCCGTAGCAGGTGCTGATTTACTCCCATCTAGCAGCTGAAGGCGATGCTCTGGTATACCCTGGGCAACCTCACTCGCGAACATGCAGACCTCTTCGATACAGAGGTAACTCCTCAGTTCATTGCGGGGCTAGTAGAGATTACCTGGGCGCAGCTAGGTGCGCTGAATGTTTCGCTGATAGTCCAGGGTATTGGCTAATGGCCTTATTCAGAAACGGTTGGCCAGGATTTAGAAATGTTTGCAAAGTACGTATTCATGCCGGATTGTGACCTGGATATCATACGGGTTGTAATGCTGATACTATTGATTTATCAGCCATGCCGGTCGTTCGACGATTAACGCGTCCGACGTCTTGTTGCTGGCGCGACGTAACGAAGGCCTCGAGTCGATCTTGCGCGAATACAATGACCATTTAGAAGCTGAACGAGAGAAGCGAACTTCTAAGGACGGGTAACCTTTATAGTACGCTTGGGATCTTTGATATCGGAGCCACGAACAACTCGCTTGCAGGAAGAATTATCAATCTCTGCTGGTAGAATTGATATCAACCAGCACAGTATGTCTGGTAAAACGATGAACTAGCCAAGCTATGGTGGAGGTTATCCTGAGTGTGGCCACAGTCAGCACGATACACGGAATCATGATGTGAAGGGGAATAACCTGCGGGTAAACAAGTCTCCGTCCCTGATAATAGTGCCCAAAGTCAGACTATCAGGTTCCTTTTAGATTATTGGGGGTACACAGTGTGAAGAGCTTGGCCTGAGATTACATGATGACTGGTAGACAGACATCGAAGGACGGAAGCGAACGGGGTACATTGTGCGTTGTCTGCATAATATCGTCACTTTTCATACCGTGTCTCGCTAACAAGCCTGTCTACCTCTAACATCTAACTTTGAATGATCGTACCAATAAGTAACTAATTTTAATGCATCCTTCTCAGTTCTTCGATCATTTCCTTCAATGAAGACACGGTGACAGTACTATCGTCAAGTCTACTGACTATCTCCTCCTGCATGGCTGGGGTGCATGAAAGGAAACGCTCAATGAGTTCTCCGTCCACAAACCTGAAAGGCTCATCGGATTGGCGCACCGTAGTTCTGAACGCACGGTATTTAGAGAATGGTATCTCTCCTGGACTTATAGTTATACTCCCCATGGCGGTCTGAAGTCTGAGTAGGAGGTCTATATAGGTTGGGTTGATTAGGCCGAAGAGATAGATGGACCCATCGACCTGTTATACTGTTAGATTTTATGGATAATATTGTCATCAAAAAAAAAAAAAAAAAAAAAACAAAAAAA